AGAAGAGGTTCCGCTTAGACATAGCAGAAAACATATAGGGTGGAATTTCGTTTATTCCTGCATCAGGTATTTGTTGATCACATTCCAAGTGCTGCACACCATAGTGTGTGCTGGGCTTTCATTGGGGAGCAGGACCGAGAGGATCCCTGTCGCTGTCCAACATACGGACAGACCATGTCAGGTCACAAACATGATCATTCCAGAGATTGGTATGTGTGAAGAAGAAAGGAAAATAGCACCATAGAGAGACCCAGTGGGGGACTGTGGCTGAGGAAGACAGCAGGTGGCATGGCAGGACTCTTAGAGGAGACAGCCTTTGAGGAGGAGCCAACTTGGCAGAGAGTTGGGGGCAAAGAGCTCCAGGCAGAGGGAAGCAAGAGGGAGATGGGTGCATTCCAGCAACAGAGGAGGGCGGGGGCTGGCACAAAGGAGCCAGGGCCCAGGCAGAATTGATGTAGAGGAGTGAAACGATCTTGGTTGTGGATAACTGATTCGAGTAGATCCAAGGAAATGAGTTAAGAGGCTATTCCAGCCGCCTACCTGGCTGAGGGGTCATTGAGGGGGAGGGCCTGCAAGAGTGGGCTGGAGGGGGTTGGATTCACTGTGCATCTGGAGGGGGAGGAAGGGAGGTTGAGTTGGTGAGCAGCTGAGATGAGATCATGAAGGGTCTTAAATTCATATGTGTGAACATTTCTGATAGGCAGTGGGGATCTGTGGCCACAGATCTTATCTCTTTTATCGTGTGGAAATTAGTCTGGCTGCAGGCAGGAGAAAAATGTTCCCATAGTTCATGTCCTCAGTAAGGAGGGTGTAAACTAGGGAGTGGAGGAGAACGTGGAGGAGAAGTAGGCAATAGAGGTTTCCAGGGGACAAAAAACCCAAGCTCACCAACTAACTGGGTACATCCCAAAATAGAAGAGTCAGAAATGGCTTGGAGGTTTCAGGCTAGGATACCTGTCTGTCAGTTCCAAGACAATGGCAGGGGGTGTCCAACTAGAATTAAGAAGTCAGGCAGCTTTGGAGGAGAAGTTGTTGCATTGAAAGTCTGGAGAGGTTGCTCAGCAGAGGCTTAGTAGTGAGAGCTAGAGGGAGTGAGGGGAGAAGTGGGTTTAAGAGCTCTCTGCATGAGAGTGATGGCTGAAATAAGCAGAAGGTGAAATTACTAAGAAAGCAAAAAAGCAGAAGGAGCAGGGAGCCCCCGGGAAGCTACCTACTTTCAGGGAGTCAAAGAAGCAAGAGGAGGGAGGAGTCATCCAGGGGCTGGGAGGAGAATCAGACAAGAGCCATCCTTGGCCTCTGGGGCGTCTTCAGGCACATGCTCTGAGGTGTCTGCTTGTTTCCACACTGGTGCCTCCCTCCATCTTACGTGTCTTTATTCCCAGGTTAGGCACAGGCACCATGGATGAATAAATACGTGTACAACAAAGACAGGGTGGGTGTTACACACAGCGGATGCTGAGAGCAAGAGGTGAAAGATGAGGCTGGATACACGTCTACTAGGTGTGATGGCCGGGAGGCTGTTGTCACTGGTTATCTTCAACAGGGGCAAAGTTCTGGGGTGGAATCCAGGACTCAGAGAGCCAAAGATAGACATTTCCCACTGTCCACGGCCCATCCTGTGCCCTCCTCAGCACCCGGATCTGAGCACTAAAGCTTTTCCATGTTTTTTTTGCATGTTTCACAGGAGCTGTGTTGACCAGTAAAGAACTTGTGCTTTTCCCACCATTCCATCCCATACCATCCCATCCCATGCCTTTAATTATGCCGTGGGGCATTGGTCCCTTGGTCCTTTGGTGTCACACACACCCTGATTTAGCCGGCGGTAGAGGGCGCAACTAGCAAATGCTGGCCAGGAACTTGAAGGCCTGCTTTGAAAGCTGAGAAATGAGTGATGAAGATTCCTAGGAAAGTAACTAAGGATCACCAGGATAACATGGGAAGACTTGAGAGAGTTTATTGCCTGGAGTTTCCTCAGGCTTGGTCTTGTTGTTCTCTTGGAACACCAAGCCTCATAAATACAATCATCAAAGCTCCTCTAATGTTCAGAATTAATGACTTCGGTTGTGTCCTATGGCAGCTGCCCTTTGAAAACCATCCCAGTTTCTGCCAAAGTTATAAGTTGCTTGCGCTGACTGAAACAATGGAAGAAAATGCCCTCGTTGGCAGATTTTGTGGCTGTCACCCATCAGCTCTTAGACTCACTACTCTTCAGCCACGGACATCCCTGCATTCCCTGCCTCCAGGTGCAGACAGCCTCTGAAATAACACCAGGTAGAGTGGGCAGAACCCATGGACCTGTCCCAGCCCCTGGATGGTCTCCAGGATTAACTGAAAGGGTAACCCTGTATGCATTCCTGTTTGCACCTGACCTGAAAAATGCCCTTCTTTGGGGCTGGGGGAAACTGGACCAAATGGGGCATCTAGAAGCTGTTGAATCAGGAATCCTTAACTCAGGTGCAGGACAAGGAACCAGGCCTGAAGCCAGAGACTCACTCCTACCAAGCAAGGGTGTGGTTTGAAAATTATAGGAAGCCAATGTAGGGAAGGTCTACAGCAGAGAGCACCTGAGATGAGAAAGCCCAGGTGGGAGCCAGAACAGGTGCCAGGAAAGAGGCCAGCAGGAGAGACCAGCTCTGTGGGCATTAGCCCTGTGGCCCTACCAGAAGCAAGTATGGAGACCATCCACTGGAGCTCTGAAGTGAAACAAAGCAACAGACGCGTGGTTACACAGATCTGGTCTGGGCATTTGTTAAACAATGCTGAGGGACATTTTCTGATCTTGGCTACTCTTAGCCCTATATATTCTTAGCCCCTATAATTTTTTTTTTTTTTTGAAACAAACTCTTACTCTGTTGCCCAGGCTGGAGTGCAGTGGCGCAATCTCAGCTCACTGCAACCTCCGCCTCCCGGGTTCAAACTACTCTCCTGCCAGCCTCCCGAGTAGCTGGGACTACAGGTGTGTGCCACCATGCCTAGCTAATTTTTGTATTTTTAGTAGAGACGGGGTTTCACCGTGTCGACCAGGTTGGTCTTGAACTCCTGACCTTGTGATCCACCCACCTCAGCCTCCCAAAGTGCTGGGATTACAGGTGTGAGCCACCGTGCCCAGCCAGCCCCTGTAATCTTTATACTGAGCAACTTGATAGCAGCTGGCTAGCAGTACACATCAAGAATCCAGGCAGCCCTGCACCACGCTCTAGGCTCACAGTGCCTCATCACAGCTGGCTTCCCTCCAGGTCGCTACTGGATGGTCCGCCCTGGCAAAGCATTGCAGTTGGTTGCCAGTTACCATCTGTGTCTTGATGTGTTACCTACATCTCCCCAGCCACTGTTAAGCCCACTCTTCTCCATTTGCTTCTTGCTGTCCTCTGGCCACTAAAGCCTTCGATTTTACCCTTTTCCTCTTTTTATACTAACTTTGAACAAGTTTGATCTTTTATTCAAGTTCTGCCCTTTTTCAGATTTCATCATGGTAATTTTTAGACTCAACTCGCTCAGCTTTTAGAACATCTTAAAGTCTTCCCTGGAATCTATCCAGTTATGCTCTCATTTTTGGACAGAACAATAGTCATTTCCCATTAAATCTTTTTCAAAAAAATAAAAGGCTCCAAGGATGATACTTGAGGGTTACTAAATATGAAGAGTATTCGCCTATTCCTTTGAGTAGCATGCCATGGTGCAGCGATTCTCATTGCATGGCCGCCAGCAAGCAGCCTCAGCATCTCCTGGGAGCCGATTAGAAATGCACATTCTCAGGTGCACCCAGACCTGCTGGGTCAGAAACTCTAGGGCCAGGACATAGCAATTTGTGTTTTAACAGCCCTCCCCGTGAGGCCGATGCACACTTAAGTAGGAGAACCGCTGCCATAATGAACAGAGGATGCTGATGTCTTTGGGGAATTGTGGGCCAGGCACTTGCCTCCAGGGATCCGCGTGCAGCCAGCCTGGCACCCCAGGTGCTGTGCTTGCTCCAAGCCCTGCCTGCAGGTAGGAGTGCCTGTGAGGGGGAAGCACGGTGCTGCTGCTTGTCGAGGCATCACGGGAAAGGACTAAATCACCTCCACCAGGATTATCTTGGATCTTGATTTCTGACTGTAGATTCCTTTGGAGTCTGAAGTGCCAGTATGTAATCTGGGGTGCAAGGCAGTAGGAAAAACCCAGTTCTTGTTCTGGAAGCATTAGCTTTATAGGGGGAAAATGTGGAAGGACATTTAGGCAATCTAGCTAGTAAATAAATACCCAGTGTTTAGTATAAATTTAGGTTATTTTGCAGAATACAAAATTCTCACTTTTTTTTTTTTTAAAAAAAAGGAGTCCAAAACCTTTCTCTGCTTTTTAGAAAACAGGCTGTGCTTCTCAGGCCCACCTAGGGTAGAGGCAGCCTCTCCTCTGCTCTCAGACGTGCCTTGTTAAAAAGATTTGAGAGATAGGGCTCTTTGTAGACTAGCTCTCCCTACCTGAGAAAAGAGGGGCCCATGCCCAGCCCTGCCTGAATGAGCTGTGGGCATCCCTACCTTGTTAGCAAAGTCTGTGGTTTCCGTTGTATGTTCTGAGACTACTGGCTGTTTCAGCCAAGTTACAGGTGACCTCCACAGCCCAGAGGGGAAGCCCCATCATGAGAAATTGTGGCTGCACCAGCTGGTGTGAGCGTTCGGGCTTCACTCCCTTCCCAGGGTCTCTGCCTCCAGGCAGTCAGGGCATCAGACCTCAGTGTGACCTCGATGGGCACTTGTGCCTTCGTGGGTCTCCCTCCTCCAGAACAAATACCAAAAAATACACTTGACAACTATGTGGGTATAAAGACAAATATAATCCAGGTTGGATTCTGTGCATTTTTTTTTTCTCTCCTGAATTAAAATATTTTCTTGGGCCTCTGAATGGATCAGGGCCCCAGGCCCCATGCCTGCTGCACCTCATGGAAAAGTTAGCCTTTCAGGGCAGCCTCTTTAAAATCCCTCTGAGTCTTAACCACAGAATAATGAGGCCTTCTGGTTCTTTAGAAAATCGGCTGTGATGGCATCATTGGGTCTGCGGCTAAAGAAGACAGATGCGGGGTCTGCAATGGGGACGGCAAGACCTGCCACGTGGTGAAGGGTGACTTCAGCCACGCCCGGGGGACAGGTGAGTGCTGGCCCAGAGGGCTGCTGTGGCTACAGTGTTTTGTGTCCTTTGCCTAAAGCTACTGGTTGCAATCTTCCCTACAATTCATATTTAAGGGCTAGACGGTAGTGGATAGGTGATCTGGAACTTCAGTTTCATTTCTGGAAAGCAAGGAAAGACATTTGAGCTAGAATGATGCCTTCAAGTTGCTAGTAGTGAATAGTTTGCCATGAACGGAAACAGCTCCCCACTTAGCCCGAGGTCTGTGAATCAGTGGTAACTGCCCTGTGCCAGGAGCTCAGCACTTCCTGGCACCCCTCCTTCTGATGTGCAGGCAGAGAAGGTGGTAAAGACACTTGCCAAATCATTTTACCTGTCGTTGGAAGAGGTTTGCTCTGTGTCTGAATTTTCTGTTAGTAAAAGTAAGATAGCACTTACATTTCTTTTTTTTTTTTTTTTTTTTTTTTGAGACGGAGTCTCGCTCTGTCGCCTGGGCTGCAGTGCAGTGGCCGGATCTCAGCTCACTGCAAGCTCCGCCGCCCCGGTTTACGCCATTCTCCTGCCTCAGCCTCCCAAGAAGCTGGGACTACAGGCGCCCGCCACCACGCCCGGCTAGTTTTTTTTTGTATTTTTTAGTAGAGACGGGGTTTCACCGTGTTAGCCGGGATGGTCTCGATCTCCTGACCTCGTGATCTGCCCGTCTCGGCCTCCCAAAGTGCTGGGATTACAGGCTTGAGCCACCGCGCCCGGCCAGCACTTACATTTCTAAAACATGCATGAAGCCGTACAGTCTGGAAAGTCTCAGGTGCCACTGCCAACTGTGACTCCGGAGTACCTGAGCCTCCTGGTCCCCAGGCACAGACATCCCTCAGCACTGTCCCTAGAGAGGGATGCCAGGATTCGGTTGATGGGCCGCCTTCATCTTTCTGCTAACATGCTTTTTGCAGCTGCAGGCTGTTTGGTCCTACATGGGACACGACTTTCTGATCTCCCATCCTGGAGGACAATGTTTAGGAAAGCGTCTGTGGTTGACACCTAGTGAGGGGAGCACGAGGCAGGCGAGCCACTGGGGAGGGAGCTCTGGCAGCCTTAGCGAGTGTCCACTCACCCGCCATCACCAGGAGAACTTGTGTTGGGAGGAAGGAGCTGAGAAACTTATTTTAATTTCCACAAGTTGCTTTGCATAGAAGCTTTTCAGTTCATTTTCACCTGACAAGAGAACAGAACCACATTTATGCCTCCTTGTCCCACAGAACAGCCCCATAAGGTGAGGCGTGCTCTCCTCTCTGCTTTTCTCTGTGTGGATAGGAAACCTGGTCTGGAAGAAACGTTCCTTCTGGATGCCTGTGGGAAAGGCAACCTACTGCACCAACATTTTGCAGCACCCTGTGAAAGCAAAACAGAGGAAAATGCAAATGCAAAATGAAATTTCAGGTGGATTTTAAAGGCAGATAGCTAGTCAGCGAGGCACAGAGCTTAGTGTGAGAACCTGTGCCTGCCACGTCAACAGAGAAAGGAGAGGCAGGAGCAGGTTGGTTTGGGGGAAAGTGGCCTCCAGAGCTGCACTGTCCAGTTCAGCAGCCACTGGCCCCTGGAGACGATCCAAACTGTAATTCATTAAAATGAAACCAACTTAAAAGTTCATCTTTCCGTCTCACTGGGCAAATTTTGAGTACTCTATTGCCGCACACGGCCAGCAGCTCCTGTGTTGGGCAGCACTGGCAGAGAATACTCCCAGCATCCCAGAAGGTTCTCCTGGACAGCACGGCTCCAGAGCATTGCCCATTTCTGCTACTCATTTTGGCATGCTTGATGCCATTTTCTCTATTGGTACCCCAGCTCCTGGGCTCCTGTGAGAATTTGACCTTGCCTATTGCAGCTGATTCAACATTTAGGAGCAAAACTCCTGCAGTTGGTGAAGGGTTACTACTTATTGTTGGCTTTTCTTTTTTAATGGAAGCATTAGAACCCTTCGTTTATTAAATTGAACATTGTACTGAGCTCCCATAAAGAGAACTGACTACAAGTGTGTGATTCTGTAGAAGACAAGTCAGGTACAGCCAGGCCCACCCCCATCCCCAACCCTGGGCAACTCTGTATGTAGAACACAAAGGAAAGTTCTACCACACATCTAGCATAGATCTCACTTCTGAGATAACCCAGATTAAGGTCAAAAGTGGTCTTCCTTTGCCCAGACTCTGATCTGTATGCCAGCCCTTGAGTTGGCCCAGGCAGACCCATTCATCTGACCACAGTAACATCCTCCTCTCCTGCCCACCCCTTTCCCTTCTCCATCCACCCCAACCTGGGCCACATCCCTGTCTAGAATGTGAGGTCAGACCCCTATGGCCATGACAGTGAGTCCCTCATGGAAGGATAGACCATACTGAAGCCTCCTTGGGTAACTCCCCCAACCCTGGCTTGCAGCCTAGCATGTGTCCTTCCAGCTGCCAAGGCACAGAAGCCTTACCAAACCTTCAGACAAAAATAAGCACACGTTCACTTCACCTGCCTGGAGTGTCATTCTGAGTGATTGCCAGTTGTCACACATCCGTTTTAAGGTACACAGCAGTTTTTTGTTTTTGTTTTTTGTTTTTTTCTTTTTCAAATCCTCACAGCTGGAGTCTTTGAACGTGAGCCCATATCAATATGGATTCTATATATTGAAAATCTGCCTGCAGTACTCGTTTGCACATGAATGAGTCACTGGCTGCCTTTCTAGTATAGTTCCATTCAACACAAACCTGTCATCATGGTCTGACATATTGGAATGCACTTAGACAGAGATACAAATGGTTACCCCCTAACCCATTCACGCAATGATTATTTATGCAGCATGACTACATTTTAACCAGCAGGTATACAGAAATAAGTTATCGTCCCCACCTCAGGTACAATTGAGGGAGGAGACCCCCGGGCAAACAGACAGCATTAGCCTATGTGAGCATGAGGTGGAGGCAGCCCAGCAGGCATCTGTGGGACCCCAAGTTCTGGTGGGGCACCAGACTTAGGCCTCCAAAAGATGAGGGTGGCCCCCAGCACTAAAGGACAAGTAGAAATCAGTTGATAGTGGGGGTAGCAGGAGGACACTTCAGGCTGAAGGGGAAACATATCCTTGCAAGACCCAGCCTGGAAATCACAGAAAGACCCCAGGTCAAGAGGCATCTTGGTGACGCCAAGCGCAGCTGAGTGGGTGGATTCACCAGGCCTATCAGTTTAGATAGGAAGGTAACTTTCATCTCTGCTCGCCTCTAAAGAATGAGGGAAGGAGGAATGCCTTATCACCCTTCCGGGTGAATATCAAAGAGAAACTCCACACCAGAAAGATAAAACGGAATCAAATGCTGGATTTTTGCCCAATTTTACGAAGTCCTGACCCCTGCCTGAACTCCTGTGGGTCCTTTTACCAAAGTTCCTGAGCTGAGAATCCAGGGCAGACCCACGCGTGGCAAAGTGTCCAGCCCAGCAGAGCCAAATCTCCCTCTCTGTCATGAGAGGTCCCAGTGTGGCGTCAGGGGAAGTGGCGTCCTGAGTGTAGGGATGTTTATCGCCCTCCAGCCTGTTGCTTCCAAACTGTGAACAAATGAGGTCCTCAGCTACTTATCTATGGAAGGAATCAACTCAACTTGGCTATCATATTGCTTTCCTGATGGATGGGCTTCAAAATGCTCATGCCTTGGGCTGGCTTAAGACAGTTGAGTTATCTGAACCTAGTAATTTGAGCATTCTTGGTATGATGCTTTCATTTCATTAAATTGCCATTTTAACAATATTATCTTTATTCCACCCTGCTCCTTGGCACTGAAAAGGTGGCTGGTCAGTCTCCAGGTGACCGGCCCATGGGCAGCCAGGACGCACCTGGACTGGAGTCCTCACTGAGAACCAGCCAAGGATACCTGTAGGCTTTGGCTCCCTTTCCTCTTTGTTCTTGCAGAGAACCTTTTCACATAATCAATCCTTAAAAGAAAGGGTGGGGTGAGGATCCCTTTTGAATGTGGATAGATCCGTGTGTCTCACATTTGTTCAGTAATTTCCTCTAGAACCCCTGCCACATGCCAGGTTCCACGCTCTGTTTTGTGTGGGGTGTGGAATCTCGTGGGGGCGGAAATTCACTGTTACGGGCTGATAGTACAAAATGAGGCTTCTTTACACTGTGATGAAGAATCATAAAATGTGCACATAAACCAATTACAACATATTTCTTTTTCTCAGTTAAGAATGATCTTTGTACGAAGGTATCCACATGTGTGATGGCAGAGGCTGTTCCCAAGTGTTTCTCATGTAAGATGTTGGATGTTACGTGTCGTCCCAGCAGTGACATGCTTGGTGTGGCTCTTGCCTGGCTCATGTACCTGAGTGTTTTCTGAATAGAATCGATGGGAATAAGTTGTGTGCGAAGCCATGGATAAACGCAGAGGCCATTAAATGCTTACATAAACTGATGTTGAAGACTGATTACCATAAGAAAAACTATAGGATGAAACAAAATTTAAAGCTATAAAAGATAGAGTCATGGGATCAAGAGCCCAAATAGAAACATATCCTAGCATGCTGCGGGTGAGTTTTCTTTCCCCTCAAGCACACCTGGTGCTCTGGCAGAAAATACCCAGGCATGCCAGAGAATTTAGCCTTAGCTGGCACCTTCCTCCATGGAAAAATTTTCATATTTCAGGACTGGTTTCCCTACAGGCAGAGGAGCATCTGGTAACATGCTTCTGGTCTTCATTTGTCTACGCTGGCCTCCCATTGTAAGGGGCGAACTGAGGCACAGTTTAGCCTCATGGGCTTCCCAAACAATGAGTTCTTTTCAATTAGACCCAGGAACAACCTTTAGGGAGGAACATAAGATAGTAATATTCTTGTGAACAACTTTTGTAACAAGAGAAAACCGTAACAAATGCCTCTCCAAACATTTTATGGTCTATTTACAAAACAAAAAAAGAACTCTGACTTTGGGGGAAAGAGTCCCGGTACACATAAGCCAGGGTTTTACCTCTAGTCCATCACAGTACTTTTTCAGT